ACCCAACTGGTGGGGAGTGAACGGGCAGCTGAGCTGCCTATCCAGGTTAAATCATGACAAATACATCAGCATCAAGCCAGTGAAGTCACACAGCATTGGTGGGTCAGTACAATCCCCAGTTTGAAAAAGTCACATTAAGAGTTATGGCACTTGAGAGTAGATTAGACAAACTGCGCATCTCTCACTAGTAAGCACATCGTTCAAACTGATTTTTCAGACAGGTCTTGTACTATGGTTTGTTCTGCCCTCAAGCCAAACCCAGACCATTCTGGAAGTACTCAGCTTAGACCAACAAGAGGAAGAACTTCAGCACTCAATATGTAATTTACCTTTGCTTTATTATGGCTGCAGGGAATCTCAAAGCATTAAGGGACACAAGGGCATGTTACTTCTAACAGTCTTAGCAGTTAACTGTCACCTTTGTACAAATATGCAAATGGCTACTTCAACTAAGACCACTTGCTTCCTCTGTTGTTTCCACAACCATTTATATATCAGGCTTTGAGTGGTGTCATTACCCAATTTAGAACTATCATTGTTCCCTCATCATGTTCCTGCACATCTTTCCTTCTCTCAATTTGTGTTAATCTCTTGCCATGTTTGGCAAACCATTTCAAAGATTTCATTTCACACACACTTTGAATCACAATACTGCAGCACATCTTCCTCCAGAAAAAGAGCGGGTGCAGTCTCACAAGCAAACTATAAAAACTACTCCCTCATTAAGGATCCATATCCAAAGCTTTCTCTGTGAATGGGAGTTCATCTACCAAATACAGTAGGTTTTTGATCTGACTTAGGATAAGGAGCCTTCTAGAAACTAGAGAAAATGCTGGATATTTTAGCATTTACAGAGATTCATTCCTACATAACAAAGAAAAGCAAGCGTCAGTGGAAGGGAGGAAAAAGAAAGTGGGGGGAAAAAAAATCAGTTATGAATATGCAACTTAGTTTGCCTAAAAACACATTAGTTTTGTGACACTCCCCACTGCTAGAGGAGTGAACAGTAGTGGAACCAATTCAGTATCAAAGTGTTCCATAAATCACCAGATCACCACAGACTGCTTCCAAGTCCCACAAGCTGTATCAGTCACTTTCCCTCCCATCAGCTTGTGATGACAACCATACCATTCCCCTTCCTAGGCATCCGATTTTCTTGTCCCTTCCTCAGGATATGCCCTTACTATACGTCTGTGCAAAGTACTTCTTTTGTACGGTACCAGAAAAAACAGCTAGAGCAGAGTGAGAGTGAGGTAAGCACAGCCAGTTTCACTCTGCTGCTAGCAGTAAAGTGCTATATTTAGAGCAGCAGAGACCAAAGCATGATCCTTCACTGCCGTGAGGGATACAAACCACCCTCTTCACTGCAGAGTATTTCTCTCTCCAACTTTGACCCTCCCTAGTGAGTCATAGCACAGATCACACGTGGTGTTGGAGAGGTCAAATATTCCAACCCCTGGATTTCCAAAGAGAATCCCAAGGACTTGGCAGCAGATGGTAAATGTCATTTGATGCAGACACTTGCACAATAATTACTTTGAGAGCAAGGGACAACTGAGACAGAACAAAGTGATCTTCCAGCATGGTCCTCAAGTAACAGGCCGGACAAAGCTGTTTATTTACTCTTTTCAAAGGCTGGCACAAATAAAGGCTGGATGAAAGCCTGCTGGTTTAAGTTCAAGTTTGACATGATGGAACAGACTCTGACTGGTAGAAAAAAAAGCCCGCAAGGAACACTGTCCATCACTGCCACATCAGGTAAGGGTATCTCTCAGTCCATCACCATTGACACGCAACATTCAGGGGCTACTCAGCACATTCCCTTTCCTGGACTACCAGCAAATAGCTCTGAAAAGATAAAAGTGCTTTTAACAACTCATAGCAAAAAGGCATCCACTAGCCTCTTTAAAAGGCCCACTTTGTACCCACTTTTTAAGCAAACAATAGCCACTTTTTAAGGCAAAAACTGACCACTTTTTTGCTACTTCCACCCTGTAACGGTTACATACAGACCACACTGATTCAGTAAGAAATGCAATAGTGGCTCCCTGGATCAGGACAGTGAAGACATGTTATAACCTATGCTTTTCACAGTCTCCCAGAAAATACCATTGAGAAGTTTGCACTTCCAGCTATTATCCACAAAGTCCTCGATAACCAAGTGCCACCTCTCCACTCTGACAAACTGCAGGAGCTAGACAGCCAGAACACTTAAATGAACCTTAACATATGCACAATTATACTGGATCAAACAATTATACTTTCCAAATCCACTGTCCTCTCTCTGATAGTGCCTATTACAGTGGATGCTTGAGGAAGGAATATGAGAACATGACAAATACAGACCGACTGTTTCCTCTGTATATTCCTCCAGCTTCTAGCAGTCAGCAGTTTAAGGACTTCCTGAGCCAGATCTTCCATCTGGGCTGTAATGCTTAACAGCCCCTGATAAATCTATGCTCCACATCCCCCTTTTGGACATATTTAAATTTTTGACCTCCAAAATGTCCCACAGCAGAGTTCCAAACCTCATGTTTCATGAAAAATAATACTTTTTTTGTTTTAAATGTTTCCTAAATGTCTCCTGCTTCTTACACAATGATAATTAGCAAATAAACGACCCTATTCACTTTCTGTATGCCAGTCATTAAGAAATCTCCTCCAATTGACTCTCAGCAGTTGTTTCTTTTCTAAACTGAAAAATCTCTTCGTACAGAAGTTTACAGTTTTATAACCCCAAACCTTGTACGGAGAGACTAACAGTCACACTCAAGGGGAAAACTTCCCAAAAGTGACACACAAACAAATTCAGACCGTAACATTTACACTTCTCGTTTTCATCTCTTGTATGAGATTCTGCCACATATTCATCAAAGTTCTCCAAAACTGGACATGAAGACATGCCAGACTGCACTGTTTGCACAGGCTTACCCTGTAAGTATTAATTCAGTTTCCCCCAACCGGTATCTTATCCCCCAAGATAACTTCTTTATCATCTCGCTACATTTTCCCCCACAGCTAGCCTTTCAGGACCTTATTCCAGATCCAGAGTAGAGATGCAGAACTGCAAACAAGATCTTTTGACTGAGGTTCACACAGCACCTGCCCAGAGGGCTAGCGGTCACAATGGGAGATCTGTCTGTTCTCTATTACTACTTACGGTAAATTCTGAAAACAAGAAACTGAGATCAGTTCATATCAATCACGCAACACAAGGGCCAACAGTGGATTTACTCTCCAAACCTCAGGCCACAAGCACGCCACTTTGTAGCTGCAGGGCCACAGACGTTTCAGAGGGCTCCTTGTGTAAGAGGAGCAAGAAACATATCAGCTTGCCAACTTTTCAAGGAAGTGTTTTGGGTCATCAGTACAGCATTGACAGGAAAGACTCGGAAAAAATCTACAGTTTAGAAGTAGCTGAGCTATTTCTCCTCTTCAAAAAGAGAACAGTACTGAATAATTTTCATAAGAACTTCTAAAAGCAAGGCACAAGATTTGCAAGCAGCTGCAAGCAAGGAGGCCATATGAAGCACAGGGAAGAAACTGAGATCTCACCATTCCGACATGTTTTCATCTGAGCCCCGTTTCTGTTCATCAGCTTCACACTCCATCTGCTCCTTCCTTCCCCCTTTGCTGAGGAAGGGCCTGTTCTCTCCTGATTCACAAAGGCCATGACTGGATGATGTCCAAGGGGCATTTTCTTTCCAGCGTGAAAGACGCTGTTTCTTGGCTGACTTGAACCTGCAGCCCCTCTCGTAGTTCCACTCTGACACCCTGAGCTTTTGCTGGAGACTGGCAGCCACCTCTGATGTCACACGTTTGACTTTCCGTCGGCGCCTGAGAGGTCGACAGGGTGCGTTCTCTGTAAAGGAGTCTGACTCATGCCACGAGTGTTGCTTGCTCCTCAGGGTGGCACTGAGAGCTGGGTGTCGTTTAACCACTGCCATGTCATCAGAGTCACTGAAATTGGCTGTCAGCACCTCACGGCAATCCTTGACAGCTTCGTCCAAGCTTGACTCCGAGGCTTCGCTGTAGCAGCAGGCATGCTCTGCCTGATGTGTGAAGTCTGAGCGTCGTTTACGACCCCGTCTCTTGCGAAGCTGACGCCGCTGCTGCCGTGGGCTTAGAGCCATCTCTTCCCATAGCTCATCCAGCTTGTTTTGTTCTGAAGTCTGCTCTAAGGCTGAGGCCAAGTCATGCACCAGTTCATCCATTGGCAATGCCTACTAAAAATGACAACAAACAATAAGCACCAGACATAAATGCCGCTACCAACACATCACTAGACTACAGTATGCTACAGCCTTTGTAATATTAACCAAGTTACACACTTACTTTGGAGTTGCCTGGGAGAACCTAATGCAGGACAACTGCCGCTTCTTGGGCTAACAGTCACTCCTTCCTTTTGCAAGGGTTAAATCCCTCTTCTAACCATGGCAGCAGAGATCTCACTACTGCAGCAGTTGGGTCAAGTGCTCTGTGTCTGAAAAAGGCCTTAAGGTTGCATCTTTTGCGTTGAAGCAACATGCTCTATTACATATCTTAAGGGTATGAGAGCCTCCAACTAGTTCACTACCTGGTGTCGGCAAGCCACAGAGAAAGGTTAGTCTGCTCGGCAAAGAGATTGAGTCTTCCAAAAAGTAGACAAGCAACAAAGCTGAGAGCAAAACAGATGGTAAAACAGGTAGTTTGCAAGCCAGCATCACTTCAACAGCAAAACAAGGCACACGGGACCCTGTGCTCCTTAGAACAGGGTGTATGAGACCGAGCCCCAACTTCTACTGCCAAAAAATCCCGCCCCTTCCACCTCAGGGCTGTCAGGGAGCCAATACCAAAGTCCTGGCCAAATCCC